TGTGCCAAGGAGCACCGCTCATTCGCTTACACAGGCATCCTGGATGCTTCAATCACAGGCCACACATTCTGCGGAGCGGAGCACTGGACCTGCACTGTTGTTAGCCTGTCCCCAGCGCTACCGGCTGGCCGTCCATGTGCGTGTATGCTGCGTCCACAGCTTTAACCAGCTGTGGATCAAGAACACCCAAGAAATGGTCCCATCTGGCTGAACAGGTAAGAAACATTTTTCTTGTCATTTCCCCTTAAACAACAGAGCATAACAACTGTGGGACCATTTTTATTATATTAGGTATTTAGGTATTGTAGTGAATCTGTGATTTTAAAGATTATGGAGGCATGTAAGTTACATGTAGGTGCCACTGCCTTCTCATCTAGGCATGATGGTGCATACCTGTGCTCCCATCATGCAGGAGGCAGAGACAGGAGAGTTTCCATAAGTTCAATGCCAGACTGGTCTACTCGGCTTATTCCAGTCCAGCCAGGGTTATATAGTTAAGACCCTATCTTTAAGGTTTAAAAATAGATAGATAGATAGATAGATAGATAGATAGATAGATAGATAGATAAAAATAGCCCTTTTACATCGAGACTTGAACACTCTGGAGTGTTGGTTTCCTAGTTTGTAGGTCCTGGACCCAACTCCCCCCACCATGGATCCAGAGGGATAGCCATACATCACCCTGAAGGGAAGGCCTAGCTTGTCAATGCAGAGACAAGCTCAGGCGTCCCACTGTTCTTCCAAGGCCCCACGATGGTCAGCACCAATCTCGGATAACCAGGCGTATGGCGAGAAGTGAAGCCAGGCAGAAGCTGCTCACCTACTTCCCATCTATATATATATCCCCCCCCCTCTCCTTCCTTCCTCCTTTTCTGCAGGGCCTTCCAACGTAGCCCAAGCTAGCCTAGAGATACATGTTCCTCCTGCCTCTGCCCCACAAGTGCTTAGGATTGCTGGCATGAGCTACCACATCTGGCTCCCACCCAGTTTTCTCAACCAGCCCTTTGGGTGGGGCAGCTTTGCACTCCACTTGGCAGATGAACATCCCGCAGGCAAGGGAATGGTCAAGTCCTAACTGAAGCCTAGTAGTGCAGCCTCAGGGCTGCCTCCAAACCATCCAACAGTGGAGCTCAGAGCTTGTGGATGGAGCCGAGGCCAGTCAACAGGGCTTCTCAGCAGCTGGCCTGCAAGTCCAGCTGTGGCCCAGCAGAAACATCTAAGTTATAAGTTTTTGTTTTAACTCAAGGACAATTTTACTGGGGTCTGAAAGAGAAAACACTGCGGAAAGCAAGCTGAGAGGATCTCAGCAGCTGCTAACAGCTGCTAGAAGAATAACATTGTGACTCAAAGACACACGCCTACCCAGGGCCTCCCTGCCCAATGCAGGCTGGATTCTCAGAGGAATGGACTCTGAGGTTGTTTCTGAGGTTGTATCTTTAGGAGTGGCCCCCTGGGACCCAGTCCATGGAAAAGGAAAGGACACAGGAGTGAGCAGCTCAAGAAGTGAGCCCCAGCAGCAGGCTGCTCCATGGAGACATAAAAGCTAGCTCAGCAACTAGAGCTACAGGTATGGTTTGTGTAACCAGCCAAGACAAGATCCTGGTTGTCCAGGAGCTCTTCTGAACTTGGTGCTTTCATCTCCAACCCCAGTATCCCACAGAGCGCTCATCATCTGCAACTGAAGGCAGGAAGGGACAGAGGACATGGCCATAGCCTGGAAGCAGCATTCCTGGTGATCAGAGCCTCAGCTCAGAGAGTGGCCATGGAGGAAGAACAAGCCTTCTGGGTGGAGAGTCAGCTGTCACTATATATGCCCACTGTGGCCCCAATACATTGTGTTTCACATACTGCTAACCCCTTTGCTGTGTTTTCTCGGGATTTTTAGATCTGAATTTAACAGTGAGATGGGCCAGTGTGAGGTTCTTTTCTCCTGACTTTGTTGTATGCTAAGCACTGAGGTTGCATTGACTTAGCAAGAGTTTTCTGGCACCAATCGCCAGCACAGAGCATCTCTGCTTTAACTCCACCTTGCATTGTCCGGCAGCAGTTCTGGAGTCTTCCCCTGCCTGCTGCCAGCAGAGGTCACCAGAGTAGCGCTGAAGGAGGAGGTACCTTCCTTTCCTGAGTCTGACTTACCAGGTTTCCTCAGTCCCTCCTAGGGAGTGTGGGGAAAACTCAGCTGGCTTCCCCATGGAGGGTTCAGAGATACCCACAAAGTACTGCAGATGCCCCCACTGCCCAAGCTGCCTTCATAAAAAGTCCAGCTATGCCCCAGCAGACTTATCAACAAGTTTGAAGGCACCTTCTTTCCCCATAGGCACCTAAAAGGTGTGCTGGGGGAGAGCCATGTCCCCTTATGGCAGCTCAGTTCCTAGCTTGCTCATCCTTGTCTCACAAACACAGACCATCTCCGGCCAATATAATCCAGGAAATTTTCTCTGGCTTTTGTTGAGCCAAAACTACAACATGACCTCTCCATTAGGGTTCCCACCCAAGTCTTAGGAAGGGCTTCCTAGAAATTACAAATTCTCTCAAACATTCCTTGCTCATATTAGTGCAGCTATGGTCACTCAGTCATTATCGGAAGTAACATGGGAGATGGGCTCCCAAGGATGGGTTTTGGAACTGATCAGTTGTGGTCATACTCGTAGATGTATGCAGGGCTAAGCCCACAGCCAATGAAAAATAGAATGCTCAGAACTAACTTAACTAGCCTCGTTTCAAGCTGTCAGTAGCGTCCTGTCAAGCTTTAAGGCTGTGACAAAAGCCAACTGAAGCAAGGGCCTCCAGAGCCCCAGTAGATGCTGGCCGGACTTGTCACAGTGGCAGTAACTGCAGGGACTATAGTGTGCAACTGGCTCCTCTGAAGACACTAGGAGCTGACAGAGGAATGACAAATAGGTTTGGTAACCCAGTACAAAATGGTGAGGTAGTGAGAAGAAGAGAGTTCTCACAGCAGCCCTAACACACACACACACACACACACACACACACACACACACCCACAGGTACTCATGAGGCTAGTCTTTCGGAGATTCAGAAAATCTAATTGCATTGGCTGTGAACAGTACTGAACTCGCAGCTTTATCAAAGTCTCCTATCAAAGTTAGGGCATTGGCAGGAAAAAGGCAGAACCACAAACCCTGGACAGACAGGTGAAACTTACAATCTTAACTCTCGTGTCATTTTTGAGTGCCATCTGACTTCTAGTGTCACCAAAACTGGAAATCCAATCTCCTTAGGAGTGGATGCTTTAAAAGGGTTCCTCATTCTCCATATTTGTACAACCCTTGTGTTGCTGTGAGGCCTGCTGCTACGGCCATAGGTAGATGTCTTCATTGCGGCTGGGTTCCCCAAGATCCAGTGATTTCTACCTTGTATCCAGTTGTGATTTACTGTAATGGTCACCATTTACTCTAAGGAGAGGTTTCTTTGATGAGTGATGGTAGCTACACTCATCTGTAAGGATAAGGAAAAGATTTAGAATATAGTAAAGATTTATGCACGTCCAGCAAAGTGGTGGTTGACATTCTTTCAGTAGTAGCAAAGCTATCCAAGTGGTGGGTGTATATTCTTTTAGTTATAGCCAGGCATGGTCAAATCTACCTGTCTATAATCCCAGCACTTGGGAGGTGAGAGGCAGGAGGATTAGTAGTTCAAGGTCATCCTCAGCTACCCAATGAGTTAAGAGGCCAGCCTGGGCCACATGGAACTTTATCATTTATGGGTATTTTGCCTCTATATATGTCTGTGTATCATGAGTATGCCTGGTACCTGGAGCTCAGAAGGGGTCATCAGATCCCCTAGGCCTGCAGTTAGATGGTTGTGAGATGCTATGTGGATGCTAGAAACTGAAACTGGGGTTCTTTGCAAGAGTAACAAGTACGTTTAACTGCTGAGACAACTCTCCAGGCTATATATGAGACTCTTGAAAAATGTTTCCCAGTGTCTATATCTTCTTGGCTACTATCTGGGATCCACATGCAACCTTTTTTCTTTAAAGGCAGCAATTTTGGGATTTGTTATATATTTGGGTGAAGTCCAGTAAATCTCCACTCTGTTACTGTTCCCTTCTATCCTCTTCCCATTCTCTTGGCTATTACCCTCAACCCTCCACTCGCCTCCATTCTGACATGGCTAGACTTGGTAGCACTGCTCTCTTTACTATTATCCTCTCTTATCAGGAACGCTTACATGCTAATCACAACTGTCATATGAAGGTTATTATTGTGTTAATTTTTCTTGCTCAACTAGTTTTCATGTTATATTTACCAGTAAATCAAGCCCAGCTCCTCTCTAAATCTTTTGCCAGGATGTTCAAAAGTAACTGGTGGTGTTGTGTCCAAACAAGACTCGGCAAACATCCCATGCCTGGTTCTTTACCTCTTTATATTGGAGCCTCAATTTCCACTATAAGCCTTCTTCCTTCTTGATTTATTCCCTCATTTTGAAGTATATCCTCGAGTAATTTCCTAAACTTTTAGAATATATTAAGTCTTTCAGAGTGACCTTTAATTGACCTGGAAATAATCGCCCTTGAAAAATTTCAAGCAGAGGTCCCATTCTCTCTCATTCCTAACGTGCCATTGGGAACTCCACTGCTGCTTCCTCAGGGCACCGTGCCTAGCCACTGTTTACTCCTGTGCTCTGGTGATCTTCCTGGCATCAGCACAAGCTTTCCCTGGTAACCTGCAAACTGAAGCCTGTGTTCTCAGGATTCTCTAACTTGCAAATCAAATATGCAGCCTAACTAAACAGAGTACCATATGGGACATGCTTGTAATCAGAGTTCAAGGTCATCAAGGACACTTGAAACAGAGTTCTGCAGATGGAGCTTGATGAACAGTGACTGGACAGGCAGCCTCTGCCACACAAATGGTGGAAGGGAGGCAGAGAGGGTCTGAGGGACACCTTTCTTCCTTTCAGTAATGCACCATGTGTAAGGAATGGAGACAACCTCTGAAAGGAAGAAGCAGAAAGCACGCGAGGAAACCAAACACTCAATATGAACAACTATCTTTATTTAGTTCATTCACTCCAGGTTTATCCCAACTTGCCACATCTTTACCCTCAAACTGGCAAAGTAAGTCACATATAACATGGGGCAGAAATGGAAGTGTTCATTACGCCCCCACACCACAGATGCTGTGCAGTGCTGCTGGCTGGAAAGCTGTGGGTACAACTCTCTTCAATGCAGGGAGCAGAGCCGCTAGGTGAGACAGGCTGCTAGTAGTTTACTCCTGGGCTACATTATGGGTGTCCCCTGCAGCCCCAAGAACCCTGAACAGCTGTAAAGTCCTGCTTCTCTCCAGTCACAGCGAACTAGCCACGAGCCAGTCCCTTCCACTTGAACTGTGCACACAACTGCATACGGGGCCGGTAAGATGGCTCAGAGGGTGAAGGCACTTTCTACCATATGAGACTACCAGAGTTCAATCCCTGGAACCACATGGTAGAAGGAGAGAACCAACTCCCAAACATTGTCATTTGATCTCACATCCACACCATAGCTTACATGGGCGCACATATACACATGAACACACATTTCATACACAATGAATGAATGAATGAATGAATGAACGAATGAATGAATGAATGAACGAACGAACACCTAAACGTAAATGAAAGACTACACATGGAGGAAGCGTCGTCTACCCGGTGAGACACAGGCCACAAAATTAAGGCATTTGGGAGGGAAATTAGAGGGCGATAAAGCATTTATTATAACAATGTATCAAAAATGTCATTGCACTTTTAAAAGCTCTTAACTAGGCACAAGGGCAAAAACAGTCAGTCAGGCCACTTGGAACAAGCACTCACTCATCCCCAAACAGGAAATAGGGGGCTGCAGTGAGCATGTCTTCTGCACAAGCACACAGCCCCACTGCATGGTACACTACACATGCCCGACACCAACAGAAATAGTGGGAGCTGTGTAGACACCGAGGGGAGAGCGGGTAGCTGCTGGCTAGATGCCAGAAGCAAGTCACACTGCGTGTCCTTGACAGCTTAGTTCACACATTCCAGTCTCAAATCAGTTACAAACACCCTTCCACTGCTTGTTTTACCTAAGAAACAAAGATTCTAAAGACAGAGCTCAGTGCAGCACTCGCTTTACATGCCCAGGTCTGCTTCAGTCCCCAGTACCGAAAAAAGCTCCATGCACTTCTGCACCGAGTGTCAAGTACATGTTAAGGCTATAGAAGTTCCCCTGCACCCTTCCTCACGTCATAAAGCTCTGGCAGGCTACAGTGTACAGTAAATACTCCACAACCAAAGCTTGCATGCTCCTGTCTGTGGGACTCTCCTGGGATGACTAAGAATCCCTAACTGGCTATGTTCGTGTACCTGCTACTTCACTGCCCAGCAAGGGAGTATGGGACGAAGAACAGTGAGGTGAAAATGAGCAAAGGAGAGAAAGAAGCTCCCAAGTTAAGAGGCACTTCCAGGAATCACTCTGTGCTGAGGGAAGGTCATTAGACCCCTGTAGTCAGGATTAGCCTCCAAGTGCCTGATAGGCAAGCATCAAGGAGACAAAGGAAGCAGCAGACCACCACTGGTGCCATCACCAGCCCCCTAGGTACCACTAGTTCCAAAGGCCTCAGCGAGGGCCAAGCAAGCCTTACCAAAAAGGCCACACTGGCTTCCTATGGGCAGCCTCATGGATCTGAGGTGAAGAGGCCCATCAACAGTGTGTCTAGACTTCCTAGGCCATACAGTTATCCCAGAGATTACTCTTGGACCCACGCAACAGGAAAGCTGCAGTGCCTTTCCCCACCATGTCAGCTACCTAAGACCCCAAAATTTCATTAATATGTAACATTCACTACAGCCAGATTGTGCCAGGATTTCAGCAACAAGCAAACATGGAGTGGGGGTGGGAGTGCTGTGGACTGCAATCAAGAGTGTTTTAAATGCAAAGACATAGCCCCACACCATCACTTTCAAGCACACATTCTGTTCTTTGTCAGGAAGGACATGACCGAAGAATAAAAGACAATCCAGTCAGCTGAGGAAATGTGGCTTCCTCAAGTACTGCATGCTGCACTTATCCTTCACCTGTACGGCTCTCCGCTGATGCTGCACTGTGGGCTGCAATGATCCGACTGTCCCAGAAGGTCAGCAGAAAGAGCCCACACCTCCAGACCAGGGGCTCTCAGCACTGTTAGTTCCACAAGCGCACTTCCACTAAGAAGCAGTTCCCACAGGACAGACACCACTCCCAAAGTGCTTGCTGCCTGTCAGCTCTCTCAGGCTCAGCGGGTCTCCTGCAAGGCACAGCAGGAAGTGCTTTCCTGGTCTACAGTGGAGCCTCCTCCACTTCTCCAGGAACTGGCTGAGCAAAGATCAGGGTGGCTCTCCGGCATATTTTCCCTCCACTCAGGCCCACAGTCAGTAATCCTTCATGACTGTTCTTTCAGGGGATGTGAGTTCAAATCCCAGCACCCACATGCCAGCTGACAACTGTCTATAACCCAAGAATCTGATACCCTCACACAGACATACATGCAGGCAAACCACCAATGCACATAAAACGGAAAGAAATATTTTTTTTAAAAATCATTCATGAAAAAGGGAAAACTTTGAAATGATGACCCTTAAGCCTGACAACATTTGAAAACTGCTAATAATCTACCTAACTAGTATTTTTGCCTAAATTTACCTAATGTCAAAACAAAACAAGAATCTCCACCTTAAGTCCTCTTATAGAAGAGCATAAATAAATAAATAGATAGATAGATAGATAGATAGATAGATAGATAAATAAATAAGTAAATAAGTAAATAAATAAATAAATGAGAAGCATCACAAGTATAACAGCTACAACGTGTATGACATTTGAAGGTTTTTGGAACTATGTCTAAAAACCCAATACTGCAAAGATAAATTTTGAGGAATCAGCAATGGCTCCATACCAACCTGCGTGGCCAAGATTCGATGTTCAAGCCTCTGTTCAAATCAAGTGGCCACCCCTGGAATAGCAACAATCACACAGACACTCCCTGGGTGAGCTGGGACAGTCTTCAGGCTCCTTCCCTCGGGCCTGCTGAGCAACTCTGCTAGGACCAGCTCAGGCCTACCACATTTTCATGCTAGGGAGGATACAGGAAAACACAGCTCAGACGTCTGCTCACTAAAGCCACATCAGCTTCCAATGGTGCCTCTCCTGAGCCTGGGGTGCTCACAGGAGAGTGCTACTCTTTCCTACCCTGACCTCATCTTTGCTAGCAATGAAATGCAGAGCTTATGTAGTGCTACTGGAGACAAGGAAAATGTCCTCAGTGAGTTGCAATGCTATGTCACATTCAGGTTTGCCAGCTGGAAGTTTTGAACAAGCAGAGACCTCACAGTGCTGGGATTATGAAAAACCTAGCAGAGGGGAAGCTACTCATGTCCAAGTGAAGAGCTGTGGGCCTGGGCCACCTGCAGAACAGACAGGAACAGGCTCTGGCCCAGCCCAGTACTTACTGGCCAGGGCTGGGCAAGGCCTATCAAAGCTCCACGGAGTGCGTTTGGGCCAGCTTGGTGCCACTGCACAGGGCCCTCCTGAGACGCTGGGATGGAGGTTTGGAACTCCATTCACAGAATACAAAGGCCATCACTGTCTGGTCAGCTACAACACACAATGGTACAACTATAGAGCATCATTACAGGTTAGACTTCTTTTATGGCCAAACACCTAAACAGACTTAGTATCTGCTTGTCCCTAAACGTTCTCAAGTCTATACAGATCCACACAAGAATCCTAACAGGCTTCAAAATGACCAAAGGTGATTTCACTGAAACAGGAACAACCTAAGCATTCTCAAGCCCACAGTTCCTGACTCACCTGCACAGGACTCCTGCACCTAAAGAGCTAAACATACCTGCAATAAGGTCATCTCTCTCGCCCACCAACAACCCCTGGGCAGGACAAGGAAAGAGCTCTAGGAGTACCCACAAAGGCATTGGGCCAGAAAGTGGGAGAAACAGTCACCAACACCCAGATGTCCTGTCTGGTGAACACCAAGCACTGTAACCTGAAACCACCCAGGTGACTGACACATTTCCCACTTCCTGTACAGGAGGTCTGAAGAGAGCACCCCAGTGTCATCTTATCCTGTGAGGACTGGCAGTGAGTGCTATTGGGATGGTCCCTGTTCTGAAAGTGGGCAGTCACTTACTGGTTGGTTCCAAGCAGGCCTCCTAAAGGCAATCACTGTCTGAGGATCCCCAGGGTGAGACATCAGGAAACCCTCAGCAGAGCAGGTGCTGCACTGTGGACGCTGGGCTGGGACCTCCATGCACTAAGATAGCAGGCAGTATTTGCAGCCAAGAAACCATCTTGGAATGGAGACAGCTCTCCAGAGAGAATGCTGCAGCGGTAAGCAGGGATATGCATCTGGAAACATATACAGACAAACATACAGGGGCGGAAAAACAGGCCAGCAAGTGCACGAACCCCATCTCTGCTCCCTACATATTTTTTTAACAAAACTCTCTTTGTTTGCATAGCAAGCCTTGAAAGAATAATAAATTGCAGAGTAGGAACATAAATAAAAGCAGAGCTCTGGAAAATACAAGCATTCCCCACTGGGGCTAACACCAGGCTAACAGGCCCAACCCATACTGCATACATTTCACAGCCCATTTCAGGAATATGTACGGGTAAAAATCCAAGACAAAGATATTGAAGAACAAAATTAAGTTTGTATGTGCCTCTCAGTTGACAATGACTCAAGGAGTGTTCGATGGCCCAAGCACCTGAGATGGAATCACAATCCAAGAGACCACAGCTATTTCCTCTTCACTGACAGCCAAGGAAAAGTTGGCAGCACAGGACATGGTTCACAGGATGCCAGAATCAGTGTCAGCTTTCACTGCAGAAGACTGGCTTCCTTACTGCAGTCAACGCTGCATCTCAAGTCTACTCATAAAGCAGAAACTTCTTGATGGGGTCTGGCAGCGGCAGCAAGGGAACCAGATGTAATCGGTATTTGCCAAGAGCTCTTCTCACAGCCACGCGGCACAAACTCAGCAAGGTCCTGGGAATACCTGGAGAGTGTGAAGAGAAGAAGAGTAAGGAACAAGTTAACTCTACCCTCGTTCTGAAGGCCAGGAGCTGACCAGCGTAGACACACCTGCACTAACACTCACAACACCTTCCTAATCGCAGAATCCAGGAGGCCCCAGAAGCAAGGAAGACCTCAGTATCTGTTTCCATCTTAACCAGGGCATGTACTCATCTGACAGCACCCCCCTCTGTAATGCTTAGCGCCCTGGAAAAAGGCTGTCCACAGGAGACCCCACAAATGAGAGCAGAGTTCTGCCAGGCAGCTTAATCTACTTGGCAAGTTTCAGGTCAGTGAGAGACTCTGTCTTAAAATAAAGGTGAACAGTGCCTGAGAAAAAACAGCCAAGGTTGTCCTTTGGCTACACACACACACACACACACATTGAGACACATACACACTCTCTCTGAATGCCACTCTGGAGAACTACTGGTCCTGCCTGAGGGCTTTAGTCGCGTGCTTAGCTAGAATTTCTTCTGGGGCAGGAGGGTGTGTTTTGTTGTTGTTTTGGTATCTAAGATTTACTTACTTATCTTCATATGCACGGGTGCTCTGTATGCATGTGTGTCTGGGCACCATCTGCATGCAGGGCCTGCAGAAGCCAGAGGGGCCTCCTAGAACTGGAGTTACAGACAGCTGTGAGCCTCTGGAAAAGCAGCCAACGCTCTTAACAGCTTAGCCATCTCTCCAGCCCTGTTTTGTTCTTGTTTTATTACTACATTTCACTGGTTCAGTAAACCTGCAGGCCACAAGACAGAGTTGAGCTCAGGCAACTTACTTCTGGCCTCTTTAAAGACCTTCAAGGCCTCAGGGTCCATCTTTCTTCTGCCTCTTGCCTCTGGGCCCAGTGACTCCCACTTCACCAGGTTCAGGTTGGCTCCAAATTCTACCAGCAAGCTTACAAAGGCTGCCTCACAGCCATGGCGCAGGACAGCATCCATGACACACGCAGGAGAGCCCCTGTAGAATTCCTGTGTGTTGACAGGGCCATTGCAATTGAAGTCAGGATTTGCCCCGGCTTGGAGGAGCAGCCTAAAGCACTGAAGGTTATGGTAGGCAGCACTGATGTACAGAGGACAGACCACCAAGGAGGTAAGCCGTCTTGAGAAAGGAGGCCGGGTGTCAGGAGTCAGATGATGGTTGACATCAACATCAGCCCCATACCTACAGGAAAAGAAGAGCAAGTTATAAGTCAGCCTCAGACCACAAAGACTGTCCAGCTACCCTGAGAGAGGCATTAAACAGTCACACTGGGAGCCTCTGGAGACTCCACAGGTTACAAACACAGCCAGCCTTTGCTATCTGCAGTTACTGTATCCAAAGACCCAACTAACTACAGGCCAAAAATATTTGGCGGGAAAAACAGCCTACAATGAACACACACAATCACTTCCTTGTCCTTACCGCCTACACAACAGATTACAGCAGTTACACAGCACCTGCTGTAGACTTGTATTTTAAGTTGTCTGTGTGCTGAGACTAGATGTAGAAACCATACCACTGCATGGAAGAGGACTAAGGATCTCAAAGTTTGGTATCAAGAAGGACAGGGAACTAATCTCCCAGAGAAACAAGGGATGACTAAAGTATCAGTACTTCAGCAAAAGAATGCAACAAGTCAAAACAGAGAATCCATTCTCATACACAAATTCCAAAGAGAAGTCTTTTATATCTTTAAAAATAAAATAATCCCAACACTATACAATTTCAGAATTAAGAGAAGAAAAACTTTCAAATTCATTATAAAACCAACTTAATTTAAAAATCTTCAATAAGGGCCAGGCTTGGTGGTGCATGTCTTTAATCCAAGCACTTAGGAGATAAAGCCAGGTGGATCACCAAGTAGCCTGGTCTACAGAGTGAGTTCCAGGATAGCCTGTCTCAAAACACCAAAAATAATCTTTAATAAACAAAAAAAATTATTATAACAAAGAAAATTTGAACATATATTTAGAAAGCAGTGTACCTAAAACTCATGGGGACTATCCTATGAATTCTAAACTAATTCCAATACTAAAAATTCCATTTAAATAATATACTGTATTAATGGAGCTAAAGGAAAAATACTGATTATCACTAATAATGCAAAAGGGCAAAGCCAACAATTATGTATGTTTCAAAATATTCTATGAAACAGAAAATGATAGCTATTTCCTCAAAAAGATAAAATACATTTTCTTAAGGCAGAAACCATCTTATTTCACAAGGAAGTAGTACAGGTGCCCTGTTACAAGGGAAGCACAACATAGAGCCCTCCTCATGCTGCCTCTGTAACACTGATGCTGAACACATGGTAGTGCAATTGGCAAAGGAAGACAATCAAATAGATAAGACTGGAAAGGAAGACACAAACCATTTTCTTTGCTCAGAGGAAAGGATTACAAAATCTAAAAAGGCCTACAACGAGTGAATAAACTACAAGCAATGAGATAATTCATTAAAGTAGCAGACTAAAATGGCAGCCTTCATGTATACATATAGATACAAACAAAAGCCAGTTTAAAAATGAAGTAGAAAAGCAATAGCCATTGTGCCAGCAAAATGATTTTCAAATGATCTATATAAGCATAAACATAGCAACTCATAGTTCAAGAGCAGACCTAAGAAATGGAAAGACGCATCAAATACTAGAAGCCTCAGTATATCATGAATTGTCCCTGAGTTGATTTGAGAATGAAAGCACTGTTCCTGAACTACTGATGCCAATTCCAGTTAAATAGCACCCTGGAACTACAGACACTGGTTCCAAAGCTCATCTGGAAGACTGAAGAAGACTGACAAGCAAAGTGAAGACGCAGAGGGTATAGCCCCCCAGAAGAGGGATTGTTCAATAAAATCCCTCAATAAAGGGATCAATAAAGATCAATAAAAATGTAATGCCAGCACATGGACAGACCAGCAGACCCATGCAGACTCACAAAACATCTTCCAACAGATCCGACTGCAAGCAGACATTCAGTACATACACTAAGAAACTATCTTAAGGGGAAGTGTGCTCTTGAACTTCGTAATGTTTTTTCCTCAGAATAATTGGAAATGCATATGGGAAAAATAAAGTTATGTCCATTATTCACAGTGTATACCAAGATACATTCCAAATAGATCAGAATTTACAAATAAAATATAAAACCATATGGAAACTAGAAAAAAAAATGATTTAGTAGATAAGGGCCCTTGTTGTCAAGACTGATGGCCTGAGCTCAATCTGGCAACCACGAGCTGGAAGGACAGAACCAACTTTTGTGAGTTGTCCTATAAAATCTACACCCACGCCATGAAGTGCCCACACCACACCACACACACACACACACACACACACACACACACACACACACACGATTAATAAATTTTTATTTAATTTATTTAATTTTAAAGTGCCCTGAGATACTACTTTATGCCTGTAGAATAAAAAGCTCCCAGTGTTTACTGGCTGTGCTTTAATAGAAACAGCTATCACTAATTTTTATAGTAAATGAAATAGAGCAATCCCAGTGGAGAGAAATTTGGCAATTCTACCAAAATTACAGATCCACTTACCCTTGAACCCATCCGTCACTTTTCTTGGGACCTGTTCTCGTGGCACATTTGCAAAACTAAGAAGATGTGCACACTGGCAATCAATAAAGCACTATCCCTAACAGCTGAGCCAAGAAACCAACAGGAACTGGCTGGCTTATCCTAAGATGCATCACTAAGCAACTGTAAAGGGAAGGAGGAGTATTTTTCTGTTTTGCCCTGGAATGTATTCCAAAGCACACAAATATACGAGAGAAGTGAGATAAGCGTGCAGTATATACTTAAAGGTTTGCATTTGTAACATGGCAAACTCAGTAAATACATGGATTTACTCATTTGTAACAGTGAAGGACAAATCATAGACCTTTGAAAACGCTTACCTAGAGAGGAGGGAGAAAACAAGACAGTGAGACAAGGTTAGAAGCTAGACCTTTTCAATACAGTTTGTTGTGTAGATTACAGTTGGAACTAGGTAAGGACTAGTTCCTTAGTGAAGCAACCACTAAAACCTGATGGGAAACAGCTGATCAGACATGTTGTGCTCCCCAGCATGATGACTCTTTTCAGACAGCTAAACATTCAGCCTCAAAGGACTAGCAGGGATACTCCCAGCATCAGATTCCATTGCAAGGACCTATGCCAGGAGGCACAGCTTCCCAGGAGGGCAGTATCATGCAGCCCTGCCCAGGAGGCAGGTGCATAGCAATAAGAAGGTGATTCCTAGAACTGACCACATTTTGACTCCCAAGGACAGTCCAGATGTTAGGTATATATGTCACTAGGTGCAGGTGCTGAAGGAACCAGAGACAATCTCTGAAAGACTCTACATGCAGTTTTGCCTGCCCCTGATATGCTCCACAGACACCCTGACAACATGGCATTTAGAGTTGTCTGAGGTCAAGTGCAAACTACCTATCTCTTTTACTATAACCATGGGTCAGCCAGCTACAACAGGGAGGACAACCAGGCTCAGGGGGCAGAGTCCTAACAAAGTTAGCAAGGGACCTGCTAAGGACAGGGACTTGGCATAAGACAGTGGCACCCGAATGGTGCCAGGAGGAGTGAGAGGAGGCAATAAGAGATGGAGATTAACTAGTCAGTGTATATGAGGAACAGAAATACAATATGGACACAAACCCTCAAATCCAGGGATAGGAGAGCAATGCTCCCAAAGCAGAGAACGCTCCTCAAAGTACTTCAGCTCTTGGTTTCTTTTCTTTCTGAAACAGGATCTCACTGTGTTGTGCAGACCAGTGGCAATCCTTCAAGTAGCTAGGTTCTGGGCATGTGCAACTCTGCCCAGCTTAGAGCTTCGTTTCTACACAGTAGTCTTAACTCAAAGAACCTGGGCTCTAGGGCTGATTCAGGAAAGTCTACACTGAACTTCGACTATTCTGCTCACCAAACAGTGAAACGTGTCAAAAGGACACAAAGCTGGCTTAAACCACCACTAACAGCCAAGTACAAGTCAATGTGATCATCATTAAGTAACAATAGCAGACTGTGACTCCACCTGGACAACATCAGAAACCTAAGTCTATACCAACATAAACAAAAATTTGAGATAAGGTATAAACACAGCTGCAAAATGCCTCTCCACAAAATAATAATTACACAGGAAAGAAGAGCTTTACAATGAAAAACCTGACAGAAACCACTGTCATCAAATTATAAGAGTCCAAGTCAGCAGTAACAGGATAAACGAAAGCAGGACTCACTTCTGCAAGATTCCTGCCCCACCCGATCCTCTAAACCAGTCAAGCATCAGTCATCTGCCACCTGCTTACTTAAGCCTTCTCTGGCCCTGGGTAGTTCTGTGATGTCTCACAAACTATGCCATCACCTGAGTATTTCTCTTGAAACAGGAAATGACAACACATAGGAAGCTCAATATGTGGGGACCTAATATTCAGGGTCCAGAGAAGACGGAATAATGAATGCCATTTTCCTTGACAGATGGCCAAGAGTCTCAACCAGCAGTCCTGCTTTATAATCTGTCTGCAGCACTTCAGGTGTCCAAAGGAACTTGGAATCAAAGTGCTTTTTTTGGGTAGCACAGGTCTGAGGATACACAAGGTCAATATCCTTCGTTGGCACTTTCCTCTACAAATGGAAGCTCCCTTATCCTCTAAGACTTTCTAGGAGTAAGAGAATACTCAAGCAGAAACCCCATGTTCCATTTCACTCACTTCACTTTTCAACTAACAACAGAATATATTTCACAATAATTATTTCTTCCATCCTCATTGGAGACATGACTTCCAAATTGTTTACAATCTTAGACAGTGTGACAGTCTGGTACCAACTGAACTACAAGAAAGACAGCCTTTGAAACTCATAAAAATATTCTAGATGGGATCCAGTTAATTTTAATCCCAAATATCTTCTAAATTTCTCTATTGCTTTTATTACCTCTACAAGGAACCACCCCAGAGAGCTTAACAAATTAATATAACTTTGAACACACAGAAACATCATTTCTTAACTTCTCCCCTAAAACATCAGTAATGTAGAGCAAGAGAGCTTACAAACAATGGAAGGTTCTTTACAGAGGGTCAGGAAATTGCAAAAATGAAAGATGAGAGACATGCCTGTAGGAAAAATGACATAGGCAAACAAGCAGGCAAGCAGATTTGTGTTATAGTTAGATGATATTATCCATTAAGTAATTTAACCATATCATTTCCATTTTTCTTCTTTTGTTTTTGGCTTTTTTTTTTTTTTTCTTTATAGACAAGGTCTCTCTATGAACCCGACTAGCCTTGAACTTGCTATGTAGATCAGGCTGGTCTCAAACTTATAGAGCTCTACTTTCCATACCCAGAAAGTTTCCATTTTCTAAAGGTCAATCATCATAGAGTTTAGAATATAGAAAAATTTTAAATAAAACAATATATACTCATATGCTTTCTCATCAGTGCCCTGCACTCCACAGAGGAAACAGGATGCACCCACTGAAATGCCCTCAGGGATTTCTGAACTAAAATGGAATGTCATTAACTGATCCTATTCAAAAACATTATCATAGAGGCAAAGGAGATGGCTCAGTGGATAAGGATATTGCCACCAAGCCTAATAACTTGAGTTCCATTCCCGCAACCCACATAGTGGAAAGAGATAACCAACTCCTACAAGTTGTCCCCTTGTGCATAAGTATGTACACATACACACACACGCACACACTCAAACACACACGCACAAACACAAAGATACACACACGTGCACACACACTTTCAAAAAACATTTAAAGAATAAGGAACTTTAGAGGATATGACCCAAGCTTAGATGAAGGTAGATTACATGGAAAGTTTACACATTAAAAAAAAATAAATAAGCACAGAGCTCAAAACTTTAAGAAAAATAACAGTAATCATAAGGCATCAGTAGGTCCGACAGCATAAAGGGCACTAATAAAGCGGCCCTTCAAGTCCTCTAACAAGCGTAATCTTAAAGACACGCAGACAGAGACAATGCAGACAGAGACAAGAGGAAATGGCTACAGACCTGGAAATACTGACCTGATAAGAGCCTTCAGGATGTCATCCCTACCCACACGAGAGGCATGGTAGACAGGAGTGCTACGGTGGTGCCGGCTGCCGTTGGGGTCAGCACCAGCTTCCAAAAGGATCTCAGTGCTCTCCAGGTGCCCATTCACTACAGCCACATACAGGGCGGTCTGCCCCTTGACATCCACCAGGTCCACCTCTGCCCCTTTGCGTATGAGGAAATCCACACAGTTGCCATGACCTGCAGTGGCTGCGATTCTCAGTGGTGTGCAAGGCAACCAGCCACAGCACCAGACAGACTTTTCATTGATGCGGCTATATGGAAACACAGGGAGATTGTGAGAATTACCCAGGTAAACAAACTGTTCTCCCTCCTCTAACACCAGAGGCACTCAAGAAAGACAGCCATTAGGTAGCCAACCCTGGGGTTTAAAATGCCTTCATGTGTGTTCTGTTCTCTTTCTCATGGTGCTGAGGATCAAAAGCGCAGGATCTTGTACATGCTAAATACTCTACCCATGAGCTACACCTCCAGCCCTTTGTGTTCTCTTGTCCTGAAATGCTCACAACTGTCCCCGTTGAACTTGAGCGGCGAGGACAGGCATTCAGGACCCTCAAGGAAACTTGAGGCTTAGGCAGACTAATCAGCACTAAAACTGAGCTTTCTAGTTCTTCAGGCCCTAACCCACATTCACAGCCTGCTCCTCTACAAAGCACATAGAGATCCACTGGAGTCACACGGCAGGACAGACAGGTCATGTGCCCGCTTACTACTGACCACCTGTAAAGCTCCACAGCTGAAGTCTTTCCCAGAGAAGGATGATTAGTAATAGTAAGCTATGTCCTCCTACCCTAACCCAGAATAACTGAGTCTAGATCATTAAGGGTACAGGGGCTGCATTCTTAGCCAGAAGTGGCAGCAAACTGTCCAGACTATTAGGCAGTATGACCACCAGGTACCATCTGTGCTGTCCACTGACCCTTTAGGTCAGCACCTCTGCTTCTGCACTAATGCTTCTGCATGTTCTGCAGAATCTAAGAACATGCAGTCTCTGATGGTCATTCCTCCAGTCACACATGGGCTGATATGGGCCAATAAAGCCCAGGAACCCTCAGAATTCACAACCAGAGAAATGGACAGCAGAAAAAAAAAAAAAGTTAAAAGAGGAGGACATTCATACATTCATGGACCCTGGGGTTTAAGAAAAAAGGAGCCACCAGGTGTTGGTGGTGGTGGTGGTGGTGGTGGTACATGCCTTTAATCCTAGCACTACGGAAGAGACAGGCAGATCTCTGTGAGTTCAAGGTCAGCCTGGTCTACAAAGTCCAGGACAGCCAAGGCTACACAAAGCAACCCTCTCTCTCAAAAAAAAAAAAAAACAAAAATAAATATAATAAAGAAGGAAGGAAGGAAGGAAGGAGGGAGGGAGGGAGGGAGGGAGGGAGGGAAGGAAGGAAGGAAGGAAGGAAGGAAGGAAGGAAGGAAGGAAGGA